ATTGTGCTGGATAGACATGGCCTGAACTGAAATATCGAACAGCTTTTACATTCTATAAAACAAAACCTTTACATAACCTTTCCTATCAGTTTTTCCTATTCTATATGGTCCCTGAGACAGAATTTTTTTGCTATTGAAGTGAAAGTGTTTAAAGATGAAAGATTATTAAATAAGACACCACTTGCTGATATTTGTGGTTCAAGACTGCATATCAAATACACAGAAGGTATTTGATAATTAAAAGCCATCACTATTCTCTTGCCATACTTTCTGTCTACAAACTGACTGACAGAAAAAGTTGGGAGAAGAGGTTTTTTTGAAGTTTCCAGCCAAAATCCTATTTTATAGGGTGGGGGAAGGAAAAAGAGCAAATATTTTAAGAAAAACGCAGGGAAAGCAAATGGAAGTAATTGAAGTATGAGTGGCAATGCAAAGGAGATACTGATTAGAGGCAGTTCTCCAGCTTCCAGCTTATTATAGTCATTATAGAATGGTGACATAAACAGATGCCTTGATAACTCACAATCATCCTCCTTAATAGCAGTTACATCTGTAATACAATGTTGAACACAACAATTTCTACCAACAAAAGGGAAAATAAAAATAAGTATTTATACCATGACCATTTCCTTAAGCTTTGAATGAACAAAAAACAACTATAACATAAGGTGGTAGTCCCATAAGAAAGATAATATCCAGAATGTGTAGTGTGGAGGCATGGGTTGATAGGAACTGGTCAACAGAGGGCATTCTGGGTAGTGGTATCAATGTAGGGAAGTATTTTGGAGTTAGTAAAGTTGTATCACCTCAAGTCAACTCTATCTTTTGTCAGGGCAGGGCCAATACCACAAGCCTTCATAAATCAAATCTCACCAAACATAACAGTGCTTCCCATATAACAGACAAAAAATAATTATTGTATTTTTAAAACAAAACTGATTTCCTATAGCAGTTTCATGGCCTTTCATTTGCTTTTGGAGAAGCAATTCCGTTTACATTAATAATGAATTTTCTTTGTCAACCTCCTCTAGACAAGTACCCTCTAAACAAAGTGAAGTAAAATTAAAGTCAGTAATATTATAGACAGTCCCAGCTTCTTGGAAGCCTAAGTCATGACAATTGCTGGAATGCAGGAGTTCAAGATTGGCCTGAGAGCATAGCAAGACCCCATTTCTAAAAGTATACATACATATTACAGACATGGTCTAACCAGTAGACTATAATGAGACCCAATTCCTTTGCTCCAGATAAATCTATTAATGGGGCCTAGATTTTACCAATTATTGAGTCAGTCACATTATCAAGCTATCATTCAAGTAAATTAACCAGAAATTACCTGTAGGTAATTTCTTTTAGTAATTAGAAATTACCTGTAGGTCATTTCTTCCCTAAATTACTAATTTCTTTTAGTAATTTAGAAATTACCTGTAGGTAATTTCTTCCCCACTCTTTTACCATTTTACTTGATAAAAATGTTTAACCCAAGTAGTAAAACTTTACTATCATCTTAGTTTCAGCTTTAGACTTTTTTGGGCTGTTATGGGATCACCTGGCCTATCATCACCTACAAAGGCCTTCAGAACCCTAAAAATACACTTGCTAATTAGTAATCAATACTCTGGGTAATGCAATCAACTATGAATTCAATTGGGCAAAACATGCATGATCACCTACAAACATCATTTTGGTCAGTGAAAACAAAGATGAATCCAACCTCTCTATACTCAAGGACAATCTAGTCACTTACCATGTAAATTTAAATGGTATATAAAGTGCAACAAAGCAAAGATACTGAAGCATTAATGGATTAAGACTGGGGGTAATACATAAATTATCCACCTAATCTATCACTCAACCCACATTTTTCAGTTTCTTCCAAAAAAAGATATAAGCTTCGTCAAATGCATCTAGTTAATAATATGATGAGTCCAGGCATGGTGGTTCACACCTGTAATCCCAGCACTTTGGGAGGCAGGCGGAGGTGGGCAAATCACCTGAGCTCAGGAGTTTGAGAACAGCCTGGCCAACAAGGTGAAACGCTGTTTCTACTAGAAATACAAAAATTAGTTGGCATGGTGGTGCGTGCCTGTAATCCTAGCTACTTGGAAGGCTGAGGTGGGAGAATTGCTTGAACCTGGGAGGCTGCGTTGCAGTGAGCCAAGATCATGCCACTGCACTATAGGCTGGGTGACAGAGAGATTCTGTCTCAAAAATAATAACATAAATAATATGATAAAAATAACAATGGCTTTTAAATTATACATTCTTAAACTAAGGGCCAAAGATTATATAGGCCAGGAAATTAAGGCATAAAAAAGATTTATATGCACCTATAAATCAGATATCTGAATCCATCTCCTAACTACCAGACTTGTCCAGCATTTCCCTTGAATAGCATATTTTTCATTAAATCATATGAATGTGAGGTGCTCAGCCATATATTTTTTTCATATCTATACATACAGTCACAACCCATACAGATTTTTTTTTCTAACTTTAACCAGGTAATAAAAAACTAAAAACCTATTTCTTAATAAGTAAAACCTATTGACTAAACATAGGTCTTCTCTAATCTCTAATTTCTCTATCAGTAAACAAAAACAAAAAAGCTAACAATTCAAATCCCTGCTTTGTGAAATTATTAATTCATATTTGGCTCTCTAACTGATCCATCCATTCTTACTATGTAATAAAGAAATGAACACAATAAGCAATGCCTAAGATGCTACCTTGCATCCTGAAGAAGTGAAGACAGTATCATCTCTTTCTTTGGTATTACCCGTAACACAATGCAAAACTGTAACTGTAATATGTATTCACTAATTTACTCATTTGGAACACTAGAAATCCCTGTAAGCACAGCTCAAACTCATTACCAGTTAGTTCATATCTCCTAACAGCTACACAACCAGTCTGACACAACCCACTTGGCATATCATTATAAAAGTCCCCCAAAGTCAGTATTAGAGATGTCCTATTGAATTCCTTTCTTTCTCAAATTTAACATGACTTAAAAAGCATTAACATAACAATAAAAACTCCAATGATTGTTACAAAAAAGAGACTTAGGTTTGAGCACATGGCTACATATTTTTTCTGTAACAACATATTCTCAACAATTAACTCTTCAGGACAGTAATGTGATTCTAAATATGAAATAACAGGAGAACTGGATTATAAATCCAAAATTTCAAGAGAATTTCTCAACCTCAAAGTTCTCAACAGCAAGAGCACAGCACAGGTGTTTGTATTACATTACGATCCACTGGAAGTAAAATCCTTTTTCAAAACTGAGAACACTAAAAACAGGAAGTATACTCAAATTTTTCTAAGATTTCTTCTAGTCCCAACAATAGTCCTCCGCACCAAGTTCTACTTATCTAAGTTTTAGACATCAAGTTAATATTACTACATTCTAAATTATTTAGTTAAGTGTTTCCCTCAAATCCTCATACAACTAAAAATCTTAAAATATAGAGATGCACTAAATGTTAAGAAAAATTAAAAAGATTTTTTCAGAATTTCCAAAGGACACAAAACAAATTTTAGTTAGAACAAAAATTCCCATCTTTTCTACAGTTCATCTTTTCAGATTGCTGAAAAACTATTTAAATGCTAAAAGTAAATAACCAAATTACAGGAGACAGTAGAGGAATGGAACAGTTTTCTTATGTAATACTGTAAGTTTTTTAAATAGCTTTTAAAATCACATTTTGTTCACTAAAATATTGTTTTCCCTTAAACTTTTTCTTTTGTGTTATACAAGGTGAATTTTTTTAAAAATCTTAAGAGTTAAATTTAAATAATATGCCTCCACTGTTTTCCTATGTTTACTTTTTTTAAAGTATTCTGCTTACATTTTGGTTTCCTTTGAAGCACGAGTCATTTAAGTAGGCAAACATTAAATTATTTTGTAATTATAAAAATGGATGAATGCACTCTAGTAAGCATGAAAAAATTTAAAACATTGACAATAAAACTATATCCATTTCCTTTCATTGATAACTCACTAAAATCAACTACAGAATGCACAAAGTGTAAGGAAAAAAGGCCAATAATGCCTGAGAAACTAATCAATGTAAAAGGATTAAACTTTACATAATTCATGTACCACACAATCCTCCCCAATATAAGAACAATTAATGCTATCTAAGAAGCGGAATGAAAGGGCTCCTAAGGTATTTTCTCTTGGGTGGTGTGTTTACAGACTGGGTAAGCACTTGTCCAGAATGTTGCACAAGAGATTCCTGGCTGGCTAAGCATTCACTAGATAGACTCTAAAGTCTCTCAGTTCTAAGATTTCCAATCCAAGAGTAGACGTGAAAAATAGGAAAACATTTTGCCTTTCAATTAACCGATCGGCTTTCACTCCCACCGTAGTCGGGCACATACATACTCAAAAGTTATTTCTCCCCTTTCTCTGCAGTGATTTCACGAGATCCTCGCGAACAAAAGGAAAGGAAAACAGGCACAGGTGGAATAAAAAGGGGAGTGGCTGAGGCCAGGCAGCTCTCGGGACAGCGCCCCCACGCCCCCAGTTCCCCCGGCCGCACCTGAGAAATCACTGCCCTCCACACCTCCACCCTTCCGCGCCGGCGCCGGGAGCAAATTCTCCGACCTATTACCCTCCGCCCGTACCTTGGCCAGACTCTGGGCATTGTCTGGAGCCTCCGGTGCCAAAGAAAGACGGGGAGGAAAGAAAAGGAGAGAACGAAGGAGAAAGGACGAATGAGAATAAAGAACGGAGGAGCAAGTCAAGCAACAGGGAAACCGTACGCTCCTTTAAGCAAAATTACCTTACCCATCGATCACTCGATTTATCAATTCAGCCCCCAAAACCAACCCACCGGCCAAAGGCTGCAGCGGGGGGTGGCCAAACAGGAGTCCACCGAAGCTGTGCCCGCCCGAAGCACAGTGGCAGGGAAAGGGAAATGGGCGTGTGGGCTAGGCCTGGCTGGCCCGAGGCCGGGCTCCGAACAAAGCCGCCCGGGTTCCCATACCTGGGGCGAGGGCTCTGGGCGGCGCCTCCCCGCTCCCCACGCCGCCGCAGCCCGGCGACGCCCTAGCCCCACGGACCCTGGCCCGGGCTAGAGACCGCGGCCGGTCCCCTCCTTGCCCTCCAACAGCGCCCCTTGGGGACAATGGACCCCCCTCCCCCGCCTGCAGGCGGAGAGATACAAAGGGAGAGGCGAGCTGCCTGGCGCGAAGCCAGGCGTCAGGAAAGTGAAGGCGGAGGAGTGAGAAGGTACGAGAGACGATCCGGGCAGACGAGGGAGCCCGCGGGCTGCTCCCCAGGCCGTCCCGGGCGCAGCCCGAGCCCCACCGCGGCGGCAAAGGCGGGAGTGCGGACTAGCGGCCCCGTCGACCCCCGGCCGAGAAGGAAAGAGGAGTCTGCACACAAAGAGGAGCGGGACCCCCATCCTCCGCCAGCGCCGGGCCGAGGACGGCGGTGCACGCTCTCACCGCCTAGAGTCCGCGGCGCCCGCCCAACCCGTGCTTTTCGGAGACCGGGGTCCACACGGGGCGCCCCTTCTCCTCCACTCACCCACAGCTCCGTTCCCCAGCTCATGGCGGAACTTGAGGCGTCTCTGGCCGTTTGGCTGTGCCGCTGTCCGTCCGTCTGTCGGCTCCGCCGCCAGTCTATCCGTCCTCTCACTGGCCGGCGGGCTCGCAGCTAAGAGGCTCTGCCTCGAAAGGTGCCGCCACCGCCGGGCTCCCCAGTGAGTGCGAAAGACGCGACTGGAGAAGGCGCCGCCGCCGCCGCGTCCCCGCCTCCCCGAGGTGGGCGGGAGGGGGCCCGGGCCGAGGGGAGGTGGAACGCGGCGCGGGGAGGGGGCGGGGAGCAGTGCATCCTGGGATCGCGGAGGACCTGGGCTCTCCTGGCCACCGCCGGCGGGGTCCCCCTGCGGGCCCCTCTCGCTGGTTGAGTCTCCTCCCGCCGGTACCCCGGAGCTTGGACTGCCCCGCCGCGGCCGCCACTCGGACCCTTGTTTCCAAGATAGAAAGCGAGCGAAGGGAAAAGATCCCCACCGCCGCTATTATCTCACCCCTTCTCTGCGCTGAGCCCCTTTACAAGAGGCAATTTCAGTTACCTGCCTTTCCTGCCTCTTGTCTCCTCTCGGGAGAAACCCTGTCCGGGAAACATCATCCAAATCCTAGGGTTTAGATTGAGGAGAGTTGTGTTTTATTATTTAAAATCTTGGCGTTTAAGGTGATTTGTCCTTTCGAGCCTGATGCTTCGGCGTGATATTCTTGGGAATCACCAAAATGTGCACAGGTTGAACATCGAATGTGAATGCAACATGTCCCCGATTCTGTCTTTAATTAAATATTTTAATTTTATAAATTCTGTCATGAAATCATAAAAAGAGACAGCTCTTCCAGTAGTCATCTGGGGATGTTGCCAAGGCACGATGTGGAAGACGTGGACAAATGTGAGCCGAGCTGTCACCTGCGGAAAATGAGAAGGCAGCTCGCCCGGTGTCTGAAATGGGCACCTCATGGGTGGGGGTTGGATGAGAGCCAGATTCCTCTCCGGTAGTGTAAACAGCCTATTCAGAACTTCAGATCTCTCTCACCTCCCAGTATCGGAACCTTGGAGGCAGGTCCACTACTTCCTTTTTTTTCTGTGGAGCTACTTCCTGGCCTATCTCCATGGGAAGGCTGTCAGCGAGCTTGGCTGGTGCTACTAGATATCAAGTACCCTGAGCAACTCCCTAACATATGCTTTAGTATTAATAGCTCGTCTCCTAAAGCAAGCAAGCGCACAGACACTTCAAACCAGTCAACTAGCAGAGTACTCCTCAGTGCATCACGACAGCTGGGTGTCTTAGGAAGCTCTCCCAACAGGTTGTCAGCATTGAAACTCCTCCTCTAACTGGCCTGCACAGGTGTTCCAACTTCTTCCGCTTAATCCTTGTCCTTGCCTAGCTGCGCTCCTGAGGCCAACAGCCTGAGTTCGCCTAACAGTCCAGCTGCTAATCTTCCTAAATTCTCTGCTGTCCTTCTCTGAGGCCAGTTTAAGCATACAAATGCCCTCTTCCAAGTGGTATAGCCAATTTTTAAATGCTTAAGTGTACCATGCAATGAAAAGACTGAAGCATTCAACAACACTTCCTACAATTTTTCTACATTGCCTCTATTTCAAATAGAATTTATTCGTTTATTTATATCACCTAACACTGCTAACCGCCTCTCCTATCACTTCATCTCACTCCATAGAATTACAAATGTATTTTGCAATCGCAAGTAACATTAATTAGTAAGAGAAAATTGATTTTTTTTTTTTTTTTTTTTGAGACGGAGTTTCACTCTGTCGCCCCAGGTGATCTGGGCTCACTGCAACCCTCCCTGCCCCACCTCCCCACGGGGGTTCAAGCAATTCTCCTGCCTCAGCCTTCCAAGTAGCTGCAATTACAGGTGCCCACCACAGCACCCAGCTAATCTTTGTGTTTTTAGTGGTGACGGGGTTTCACCATGTTGGCCTGGCTGGTCTCGAACTCCTGACCTCAAGTGATCTGCCCATCTCGGCCTCCCAAAGTACTGGAATTATAGGCGTGAGCCACTGCACCGAGGCAGGAAATTGATTTATTAAATGAATGTCTCATTATTTAGAACCACAGCAATCAAGATTTATTATATCTAAGTATTGTCATAAAAGCTAAGACCTACAGAGTACAATTTAAACCAAAGTTAAAGAATTTATCTCTTCCCCCGCGCCCCGCCCCCTCAATGGTCTAGAGTGCAGTGACTCCATCTGGACTCACTACAACCTCCACCTTTCAGGCTCAAGCAATTCTACTGCCTTAGCCTCCCAAGGAGCTGGGATTACAAGTTCGCACCACCACACGTGGCTAATTTTTTGGATTTTTTTGTAGAGATGTGGTTTTGCCATTGCTGCCCCGCCCTGGCTAGTGTCAAACTCCTGGGATCAAGAGATCCAACCCCCTCAGCCTCCCAAAGTTCTGGGACTACAAGCCGTGAGTCACCATGCCCAGCCAGGATTTCTCTTTTAAAGTAAAGTAATCTGTTCACATTAAAATTCTCAACCATACTGTTTACCTAAATAAAGCTTACCTCCTATATGAAGATTTTTTTTTCTTCTTCCAAGGTACTGAAGCAGGATTCCACACTTAAAACAATTCATTTCTCTTCAAAAAGTTAGATTTGGGAGCATCAAGGGTTTTCTTATTTGTTTTTGTTTTGAGACAAAGTCTGCTCTGTCATCCAGGCTGGAGTGCAGTGGCACCATCATAGCTCACTGAAGCCTCTACCTCTCAGACTCAAGTAATCCTCCCACCTCAGCATCCCAAATGGCTAGGACAACAGGCACACCACCACACCTGGCTACTTTTATTATTTTTATTTATTTACTTATTTTGTAGAGACAGGGGTCTCACAATGTTGCCCAGGCTAGTCTCAAATTACTGGACTCAAGTGATCCTCCTACCTCGGCCTCCCAAAGTGTTGGGATTACAGGAGTGAGCCACTGCACCCAGCACTGCATCAAGTTTAATATTCAGATTTAAATAAAATTTCTGTTACCTTCCATTACTATAACATTTTTAATATTTCATATTACCACCTTAAATAATCTCTTCTAAAGAATTATTTGTAATTTATAAGATTCTTTCATGACATTAAAAGTCAGTTTCAACAGTCTTTAAGCAAAGATAATTAAAAAGTGAAAACTTTCACAATAAAGAGATAAATGTTTAGTGTTATATTTTGTTACAAAAATAATAAAGACTAATCAGAGTTCAAAATATTTCTTCTGATAACAAATCTCTAAAACAGCATATAGGCATTTTAGTCAACAAACATCCAGAGATATTTTACATACACATAGTCGCATACACAAATATATATTATCAGTATGGCAGTTTATAAGGTTGTTTACGATTTTTGCATAATCAAAATCATTTTGGCATTAAATTATTTTTACAGATAATTTATTCTTTATAGAGTCATGACAAGGCATTTTGTAAGCAGTTCAAACACAGAATTTTTATCTCTAAAAATGTTAAAACTAGCCAGGCACAATGGCTCATGCCTGTAACCCTAGCACTTTGGGAGTCTGCAGTGGGAGGATTGCTTGAGGCCAATAGTTCAAGACCAACCCAGCCAACATAGCAAGACCCCATCTCTTATTTTAAAAAAATTAAAAGTAAATTAAATTTAAAATGTTAAAACACAATCTTCAGAATCTTCAAAGAAATATCTCTTTATTATAATGGAAATCTATTATTAATTTATTTCAGATGCTACCTCTATAACATACTTTGAATCATTAAAGGATATAAAACTCTTCAAACCAACTATACTTTTTTGCTGCTTGACCTATTTTGGCAATAAATCACCACATAGTTTCTATTTCTTATTACATAATTTATAAGGTAATAATACTCAGAAGAAATAATGAGAATATTATTCTACTTTCTCCATATACAATGAATCTACTCTCCAAATAAATTTGCAAGGGCTTAAATTACAAAGATGCTTTAGCAATTTAAACAATTATTATAATGTATCTTTTTATTATGAAAAATAACTTTTTGAACCCATTTTCTCTTCAGGCATGTCATAGAACTCTGGTCTATCATAATCTATTAAAGTGTTATGTTTTCTTTTCCATATATTATAATTCAAATGCAAGTTCCTTTTATAATTTCTTTATGTTATAAACATTTAGCTAATGCCCTTTCTGGTTTCAAATATTCACTTCATGAATCGTTTATTAAGGCAAAATATGAAACAGAGTTTTTCACTGCTGCATGCTGGGATATTTAATAATTTACTGGTCCAAGTACATCAACTTTCAACTGTAAATCAATCCCTTGTCATCTGAAAATCTTAAGACTATGTCTTAAAATTAAAGTTACAGAGATAGTGTCCAGAAATAAAATTTTCTCCAAGTAGCTAGGCCAGAACAATCAAGCTAAAACTACCTTAAGGAAGAAAATCAAAGACCAGTACCATTTTAATGTTTCAAAAATGGGATCACACTTGCACGCTGAGTCCGTGCCAGCCAAATAAAGAATGGCACTGGTTAGTTAATAGTCATCACTACTTTCTGTACTGCCAGTTTTCCTATCCAAGATTTGGAAGAAATCCAAAACTTCAAGTGCATTGTTCAAGGTGGCTCACTGAAGAAAGGGAGAAAGAGGGAAAGAAAGTGAGAGACAGAGAGACCATTTTATGTTTTTTTGGAATTCTACTCACCATTACCGAATCTAGTTAAGCATTTCATGTAATTGCTCTAGTGAAATGTGGAAGAAGAAAAAGAAAATTCTATATAAATCAAATGTGTTTAAAGAGGTAACTTATGTCCACTTTTCTCTGTTGGTTGGATTTTTCCCACTGCATTATGATACAACTGCGTAACATTAAAAATGTTTAGGTATTTGTTTATATTAAATTTTCCTCAGGGCAGGAGACCTGGTAGAATAAAAGTTATAGTTTTCTCTACGTGTTTGC